CTGACGTACTACAAATATCATACAAATTCTTTCAACAGCTATAATTTTTTCTTTTAAAGCAGTTTTCGTCCGCTGATTCTTTTAAAATTCATTTATAACCTCATTGAAAGTGTTCGACCCAAAAAGACTTGATATAATATTAGACATATTCCTCGTTCAGTAACCTAAATTCTAAATTTCTGCAACGTTCAATTAGAGTATATAATTTTCAGTTAGAACATGAGATGCCAACACTTCTTGACCTTAATATCGATATTTGCCACCTTAGTTTATGGACAATTACCCGTCGATAACTTCTTCTCCTGTTATTTATCTGGCGACTCAAGTGGTCGTTCCAGTTGGTGTGGGAACAATAATCCATCAGATGAGGCTACATGGAGAAATCCAGCAGCTGTCCAAGAGGGTATTAAAAATGCCATAGATTATCACAACAAATTGGTTTGGGACCCTTACACCTACAGAGGAAACCCACCATTACCACCAAGTGGGAATGCACCAGTACTTGTAGTGAACCCTCCACCACCAACTCCTGGACCACTGCCAGTTCTGACGCCACAAGGGTTTGTACAACCTGGAGGTCCAGCTCCAGCAGCACCATTTGGAAATGGTCTTTCAGGTCTTCCAAACCTGCAAACTTATCCCGGCCAATCACAGCAGCAAATTTACTCCCCTCAAGTTACTACACAACAACAATTTTATTCTAGCCAGACAGTCGCTCAACCACAACAACAGCAACAAACGATGCAGCTCCAAGTTCCGGCAGCTACTATCACGTCACCCAGTGATCTAAACACAGCACTGCCTGTACAAACAGCATCTGAACCTCAGTTAACGGATACACCGCCTTTTTCCAGCGGCGTGATCACGCAGCAGGCTCTAGATTCGGCTTTACAGTTGCCATCTACCAACGCGACGTTCCTTATAGATGGTAAAGCTTCGCCAAAAGATGTCAACTATGGAGTTAAGTTCAAGAAATATGACATTTCAACAGTTGACACCAATGTAGCGATACCAGAAAACCTAAACACAGATCCAGACTCAATTGTGCTTAGTGCCTTACCTATAAAGAATGGTGCAGTAAGTATGGCGCAGGCCGCACATGGCATGTTACAGCCAATGTCTTCATCTTCTTCAACGCCTAGAAACTCTGGTCAAACACATCTTCAAGAAGTGATGGTCCAACCGAATTCTTTCGATCAGATGACCCCGAATCCGGAACTAGACGAACTTAGAAATGCTGAAGAAATTTTGGCAACGTCAAAAGACTTAAATTCACAAAGTAATCCAGTAACTGTTCAAACTGGAATGATAAATGTAGTCAGCAAAAAGCCAATATCTATTGGTCCGCAAAACAAACGTCTCTTTTCAGGGTTCCATATTGTAAGAGGAGCTGACGGATTAAATTACGCAAGAAGGACGAGGATACCGCTGAAAATACGGAAAGTCAATCCCAGCAGCGAGGATACAAGTAATTCACACAACGCTTAGCACTGTCGTAACTCTTAAATTTTTATTGTTTCTTCAAAGGCTGCAAATTGTGAGTTAAGTTTTTAAAAGCAAGTTTCAGTTCGGTCCTTAATTAATGCTAGTAGAATGAAGCGTCTCAATCAACAAAATTCTGATGCGGATTCTTCAGGACAATAAACTGGAGAGAACTCTGATGCACTGCACTTGTAGTAAGCCTCCAAAATGTCATATCAAACAACTGCTATATCAGGAAGTCTATGATTTTACACGATACGGCAGTCAAAAACCAGTATCTTCGTAATAGCACGTTTCGTTCTTACCTAACTACTTATTATAATATTAAGACTATCTAAAATTGTTTACCCAGTGATAATGACGGTAATAATGGTAGAAATGGTGCTTCAAATAATGCGAAATTAATAGCTGTAAATAATACAGTTACGCGGTGTGCTTATAGTAATAAAAGATAAATAATAAATAATAACGACAGAGACATTGAATGGAAAATCAGTAGAGATAACGTGTATTCATAACTTTGAACAAACAGTCAATCTTTTTTTTAACCTTCTCTTGACCCGCTAATTTAATTCTCTACTTTAGAGCATGTCAAGCGAATACTAAATGATGGGTGCTCTGTAACAGTTTTCACAGAAATACTTTTTTGATTTTTTTGTGAGTAACAAAATTATATCGAAAAATTCAATGTATTCTGTCCTCACTTAAAAAATGAATTGTCATTTCCCCCTAGCGCTCAAAAAATTAACCATATACGACCAATAAAGCGATCGATTAATAGTACAACGCTTCTTTGTTCTTGCGAGGTTCAGATTTTGGGACAGTTGTATAGATCAAATAAATGAAAACCATTTATAGCTAGAATTAAGCAGAAAAAACTGCGGAGAATCTGCCAAGTCCCCTAAACCTGTATAATCAAAATTAGCGATACAGTCAAAATGCTGGAGAAAAAACGAAAATTTCAAACAAACGTTTGTTACAGTTTTGATTAAGATTTATATCACGAAAAATTATAGTGAACGTTTCTTATATGTAACTTTTTGAGGAAACTGCTTAAGAGAACAGATTATATAAACACCGCTGGAATTTTTATATTCCTATAGTCTGCCAACAAAGACAACTGATAACTAACGTCATTATTTTGTCTTCAAGATCCACAAAACCTAAAGCTACAGATGACAGTCAATCAGCATTATAAAATCAGAAATGATCATTTTGCTCCTACTAGGAGAGGTCTGCTGGAGTAAATTTATTATGCCAAACACTTAAAGTACAACAAATATGGTTATCCGAATAAGACAAAGAAAGGTAGATGAAACAGTAGTAAAGTATGAAAAACGATGAAATCTGTGAAAAGATATCGGTTCTACTTCATTCTTCTACAGTCCGACTGTAAGACATCAGTAGATAACATGACAATGTTGTTCATCGATGCTGATGCCAAAGTGCAAGCGAAAACCAGTTTTACAAACTGAAAACAAATTATAAAAGGTTTCCTCTCTTTTTTTTTTTTTTT